ATGGTAAGGTCAACATTAAAAATAGGTGCAGTTAGGAAATACATTCTCTGTTGACCTTTCTTAAAAATATCTTAATCATCATCAATATCTAGTGTATGATGATTTGTTTTGAGCAGTCTGTGTGTGTTCAGTGTTGGCAGACTACCGCTGACTAGCCTCTGTCTGAGCTAGATGTGGACCAGACATTGACATCACATGCGTTTTAGGTGCTGAATGAAGGTTAGAAGACCTTTTCCGGACATCAAAAATTGAAAAGATATCTTATACGGACGTAAAAAATACGTATTTTCCGGAGGTTGAAAATACTTACTTTCTGGACAATGAAATCAGATGCATTTTAAGTGCTGTATAGAAGGGAAAAATACATATTTTTCAGACGTTGAAAAGATGTCATTTAGAGACAATGAAAAAAATTTTTTGTCATTGATTCTATGTCCAGATTTCTACAACCATACATTCTCAAGTAAGTAAGCATAATATCACAATAATGAATTTTCACACCTCTGAACATGAAAGAGGAGTCAATGGAAGAGCGTAACAAAATACGTAGTATTGCCATCACGCACACGCACACACACACACGCACGCACGCACGCACGCACGCACGCACTTGCTTATATTCTTTACTACTAACATCAATGATGTTTAAAATAGTCTTACAACCAGAATAAACCAACAGACCACTTCAACTACAATAACATTCTGAGTAATGGTTACATAATATTGTATCTTGCTATGACTGTGATATATTGCTGTTTATTTACCTTAGTTGAATGCACTGACTGTAAGTCACTCTGGATAGAGCGTCTGCTGAATGAGCAAAATGTAAATGTAAAAACAAACACTAGCAAAGCATGCTGGGTATTATTTTTAATGAGCTCCGCCCCCAAACAAGTACAAATTTGGTCGGTGCTGACCAGATCCAAACCTGATGTAATTATAGACGTCTAGGCTTTGTTTGACAAGTTTGAACGTCACAGTACAGTTTAGTACAGTAGAGCAAAGTAGAACACAGAAGAGTACAGTATAGTACAATACAGTACGGTATGGTATGGTACAGGACAATAACGTTTTATTCAGTAGAGTACATTCCAGTACAGTATAGTTTAATTCAGTAAACTATACTGGGCCGTATACAGAGTTCCTCACTGAGTTCCCTGAATTCCTATCGGACCTTGTAGTCATGGCAGATAATATTCTAATTTTTGGTGACTTTAATATTCACATGGAAAAGTCCACAGACCCACTCCAAACGGCTTTCGGAGACATCGACTCATTGGGTTTTGTCCAACATGTCTCCGGACCTACTCATTGCCACAGTAATACCCTGGATCTAGTTTTGTCCTGTGGAATATTGTGGATCTAAAATGTTTTTCCTCATAACCCTGGACTATCGGACCACCATTTTATTACATTTGCAATCGCAACAAATAATCTGATCAGACCCCAACCAAGGGCCATCAAAAGCCGTGCTATAAATTCTCGGACAACCCAAAGATTCCTAGAGGCCCTCCCAGACTCCCTCCACCTACTCAAGGCCGTTGGAGTACAAAAATCTGTTAATAACCTAACTGAGGATCTAAATTTAACCTTGCATAATACCCTAGAGGCAGTCGCACCCCTAAAAACAAAAAACATTTGTCACAAGAAACTAGCTCCCTGGTATACAGAAAATACCAGAGCCCTGAAACAAGCATCCAGAAAATTGGAACAGAAATTGCACTCCACCAAACTGGAAGTCTTCCTACTAGCTTGGAAAGAAAGTACAGTGCAATATCGAAGAGCTCTCACTGCTGCTCGATCATCCTATTTTTCCAACCTAATTGAGGAGAATAAGAACAATCCAAAATGTATATTCGATACTGTCGCAAAGCTAACTAAAAAGCAGCATTCCACAAGAGAGGATGCCTTTCACTTCAGCAGTGATGAATTCATGAACTTCTTTGACAAAAAGATCATGATCATTAGAAAGCAAATTACGGACTCCTCTTAGAATCTGCGTATTTCTCCAAAGCTCAGCTGTCCTGAGTCTGCACAAAACTGCCAGGACCTAGGATCAATGGAGACGCTCATGTTTTTTAATCCTATATGTCTTGACACATTCATGAATATAGTCATGGCCTCTAAACCTTCAAGCTGCATACTGCACCCTATTCCAACTAAACTACTGAAAGAGCTACTTCCTGTGCTTGGCCCTCCTATGTTGAACATAATAAATGGCTCCCTATCCACGGGATGTGTACCAAACTCACTAAAAGTGGCAGTAATAAAGCCTCTCTTGAAAAAGCCTAACCTTGAACCAGAAAATTTACAAAAAAGTATGCTCCCACTAATTCTCTCTCTCTCCCTCTCTCCCTCCCCTCCCGGAGGACCTGAGCCCTACGACCATGCCTCAGGACTACCTGGCCTGATGACTCCTTGCTGTCCCCAGTCCACCTGGTCGTGCTGTTGCTACAGTTTCCACTCTTCTGCCTGCGGCTATGGAACCCTGACCTGTTCACCGGATGTGCTACCTTGTCCCAGACCTGCTGTTTTCAACTCTCTCTCTCTCTACCGCACCTGCTATTTCAACCGCTAAATGCCCGGCTAAGAAAAGCCAAGTGACATTTACTCCTGATGTACTGACCTGTTGCAACCTCTACAACCACTGTGATTATTATTTGACCCTGCTGGTCATCTATGAAGGTTTGAACATCTTAGAGAAAAATCTGGCCTTAATGGCCATGTACTGTTATAATCTCCACCCGGCACAACCAGAAGGGGACTGGCCACCCCTCAGAGCCTGGTTCCTCTCTAGGTTTCTTCCTAGATTTCTGCCTTTCTTTTCCTAGACACCGTGCTTCTACAACTGCATTGCTTGCTGTTTGGGGTTTTAGGCTGGGTTTCTGTACAGCACTTTGTGACATCTGCTGATGTAAAAAGGGCTTTATAAATACATTTGATTGATTGATTGATTAGTAGAGTACAGTAGAGTACAGTATAGTTTTATTCAGTAGAGTACAGTACAATACAGTAGAGTTTAATTCAGTAAAGTAGAGTACAGTAGAGTACAGTATAGTTTAATTCAGTAGAGTAGAGTACAGTACAGTTTAGTTCAGTAGACTGGAGTACATTAGAGTTAAGTAGGGTACAATACAGTACACTATATTTAACTTTTCTTAACTTTACTCTAGTGTGCTCTACTGTATTGTACTGTATTGTACTCTACTGTACTATACTCTCCTTTTCTTTACTGTATTGTGTACTGTAATGTACTGTATTCTGCTGTGCTCGACTGTACTGTTCTATACTGTGCTGTACTGACAGGGATGGGCAAAAATGGCAAAATACAATTACAAAATACAGATAGAAATACCATAAAGATCAATGTAGCAAAATAAACTACAATTAAAATACGTTTGCAAGTAGCCGGCCTGAACATTCTCAGTAACGAAAACATTTAACTTCTTATGACTGTGATATGTTGTTGTTTAACTACCTTGGTTGAGCAAGTCACTCTGGATACGCGTCTGCTAAATGACAAAATCTTTAATGAATATGTGAAAATGAAAATACCAAAATGAACTGCAAAGCACACTGTGTAGTGTTTCGGGGCAGAGCTCATTAGAATAATACTCAGCATGCTTTGCAATTGTTCATTTTTACATATTCATTTATATTTAGTTAATTTAGCGGACACTTTTATCAAACCATAGTGCTATCAAACGTCTGATACCAATGCAGGGTGAAAGAGGGGCCACAAAATATGAATGCTATAAAAAATGGTATAGAGAAGTATTTTGAAAATACAAATAACAGTATTTTGAACATACAAAATAAATTGGAGTGTAGTTCAGCCCAATGTAATTAAAATTGCAAAATACTCCAAAGTAATTCAAATACATATTTCAAATACATGTAACAGAAATACTGCCTATCTCTGTGTACTGTGCTGTCCAAATCTGAACCATTTATAGACGTCTATGTTTGAGCTAAATCAAGGATGGTCCAGACCGGACCAAATCTGAGCATCTATGTTTGGGCCAAATATAGGCCGGTCCAGACCGGACGTCTGTGGACATCTATGATTGGTTTAGATTTGGTACGGTCCGTGCCGGACCACACACCCCAAATAGCGGGGAAAAAAGACGGAAGACCAAAAAAAGACGGAGGACCAAAAAAAGACAGAGGACCAAAAAAAGGCATCCAAAAGACATTTCTTCAAGGACTAGAAAGGATTTGAAAACACAAATAGCTGTGAAATCAATTCAGATCCAACCATATCCTGCCACAAACCTTAAATAGCTACTGTAACAATTGTATAAATCAAATCACAAATGTTTGGAAACAATGCATCCCCTGTGTAGTCTATGAGGAGCCAAAGAAAAGCGCAAAGTGGGCATCTTTATAAAATACTTCAAGGTCCAGAGCTCTTCTGATTTTCTCTCTCCTCTGTTAATAGATTCATTCATACCACTGATTGGTCAGGGATTCCACTCACCTGGTATCCCAGGTCTAAATCAGTCCATGATTAGAGGTGAAAGATGTAAACCAGCAGTACTTTTGATGTCAATCTCTTTAGTTTGAGAAAAGGTGCTTTAAAGAATAGAGTTTACCCATCTACCCACCCTTTATTATTTCCCTCTATCCCCAGATCGAGACATACAGACAGGAGATATGGAGAGGTCCGGTGTGAGGACCCACAGACCAGACTCTGTACCACCCAGCAGCACACTGGGCCAGGGCTAGGAGCTCCACACCAATACCATTAGAGAGAGGACAAAGGAACACCTCACTCCTTCACGTCAGTAAAGAGAACAAAAAAGAGACCGAAAAAAAGAAAGAAAAGTCACTCCCAGTGAGAAGAGAGACAAACAGACAAACAGAGAGAAATAAAAAAAGAAGTGGACAGAGAGTCCCTCTTTCGCCCTCTTTGTGTCACCTCTAAAGTTCCTCCGTGCCTCTTAGACTTTACCCCCCTACCCCCTGTCCCACCCACCCCAGCCCTCCCTGGCCCCAGTATGTGGCCCCCAGCCCCCCTCTCTCCCTCCTCAGGGCTGGTGCTGTTGCTGGTTTTCTGCCCCCTATTGGTGGTAGTGCATGCCAGCAGCAGTAAGGCAGAGAGCGGACACAACACACACCTGGGAGACACAGACCCAGACCGCTGTATGAGGCATCACTTCGTAGAGACCATCACACACCCCATCTACAAATGTAACTCCAAGGTAAGCCGGCTGAATGTGCACAGAAACACAATAGCATGTGCACACACGCTCTCTCACACACAGACAAGGATACACTAGCAGATACATAATGATAAAGGAGGTCAGACCTCCCTGTAAGTCACACACACGCACACAGTAAGATAATCCAGTCGTCCACCCCCAGTGCTCCTACTAACAAGCTGTTTTAGATAACAGTGCCAGTCCAGCTGACAAAGGAGCAGGAGGTTTTACATGATAAATATCAGAACAGAAATCTGCTCCAAACATCCAAACCAAACCCCTGGCAGAGGTAGATAAGTGCAGTCTGTTCAATAAGTGCAGTCTCTCTCTTTCTGTGTGAGTTCCTCACCTAGGCCAAAATTAAAATGAGCCCCCACAGAGAGAGCAGCAAATGTCTGCAGTGTGGCCCACATCTAACACCTCACACACACCAGGAGCATGACTCACCTAGAAAATACTTTCACCCTGCTTAATAATAATAATATGCCATTTAGCAGACGCTTTTATCCAAAGCAACTTACAGTCGTGCGTGCATACATTTTTTGTGTATGGGTGGTCCCGGGGATCGAACCCACTACCTTGGCGTTACAAGCGCCGTGCTCTACCAGCTGAGCTACAGAGGACCACCTGCTTCCTTACAGTGGCAAACCAAATGCTTACCTGGCCCACAAATCCACCCTGGACTTGAACAGCCTTTAAGACCAGGTCCACCTCTACAAAGCAGAAGTCCCTACTTTTGAAAGGACCCTGAAAGATATTGCCCTCAACCGCAGTCCCAGCACCTCACACAGGAGCAACAGACCTACATCCAGAGCACAGCACCACCAGGCACATCCACCCACCCCCACCTCAACCAGTTAACACCCTCCCAAACCAACCATGGCCACAACCCATATTGATCATCCCCAGATCAGGCCTGCGCCCCTCCTGCCCCTCCCATGCCCCCAACCCCCACAACAAGGACCTCAACAAGACAATCACACATAAATCCAGGAGGTGAGCAGAGCAACTGGCCCAACCCCCACATTTGGCTAGAAATTTTAAAGGAAATAATCTCAACAGAGAAAAATGTTATCCAGTGTGCTACCTATAAACCCCCACTAGAATCCCCAAACTTTATTGAAGACAGCTTCTCCATCCTAGAGGGAAAGGTCAATCAATTTCAATTCCAGGGACACGTACTAGTCTGGGGTGACCTAAACGCCAGAACTGGACAAGAACCAGACATTCTCAGAGGGGGACAAGCATCTACCTGGAGGTGACAGCAATCCCTCCCAAATATGCCCCCCTAGACAAAACTATGACAAAACAGCCAACAAAAATGGATCACAACTATTGCAGCTCTGTCACACACTGGGTCTGTACATTGTCAATTGTAGGCTTCGAGGGGACTCCTATGGTAGGTACACCTACAACTCATCCCTTCGCAGTGGTACTGTAGACCTCAACCAACCTCAACCCAGAGTCTCTCAGAGCTTTCACAATCAGCCCACTGACACCCCTATCAGATAACAGCAAAATCAGTCTACTTGAACAGAGCAACACTCAACCAAGAGGCATCAAAGCCCAACAAACTGCATACTATTAAGAAATGCTATAGATGGAAGGAAAGTAGTGTAGAAACCTACCAAAAAAACATTTGGGCAACAACAAATCCAATCCTTTTTAGACAAATTCCTGGACAAAACGTTTCACTGCAATAGAGAAGGTGTAAACTTGGCAGTAGAAACTGTATATTTGACCTTTCAGCTTCCCTATCAAACCCCAAAATTTCAAGAAAACAACCTAAGAAAGTTAACAAAAATGTTAAATTGTTTGATGAAGAATGCAAAACTCTAACAAAGAAATTGAGAAACATATCCAATCAAAAACACAGAGACCCAGAAAACCTGAGCCTACGCCTTTATGGTGAAACACTAAAAAACAATACAGAAATACACAAAGAAAAAAGAAAAAAGAAGGAACAGCACATCAGAAATCAGCTCAATGTAATCGAAGAATCCATAGAATTTAACCACTTCTGGGAAAATTGGAACACACTTAACAAACAACAACACGAAGAACTGCCTATCCAAAATGGAGATGTATGGATAAACCACTACTCAAATAGTTTCGTCTCTATAAAAAATAACAAACAGCAAATACATATACATGATCAATTACAAATCTTAGAATCAGCTATTAAAGATTACCAGAACCCACTGGATTCTCCAATTACATTGAATGAATTACAGGACAAAATACAAACCCTCCAACCCAAAAAGGCCTGTGGTGTTGATGGTATCCTAAATCAAATGATAAAATATACAGACCACAAATTCCAATTGGCTATACTTAAACTCTTTAACATCATCCTCAGCTCTGGGATCTTCCCCAATATTTGGAACCAAGAACTGATCACCCCAATCCACAAAAGTGAAGACAAATGTTACCCCAATAACTACCATGGGAAAATCCTCTGCATTAACAGCAGACTGCTACATTTCCTCAGTGAAAACAATGTCTTGAGCAAATGTCAAATTGCCTTTTTACTGAATTATCGTACGACAGACCACGTATTTACCCTGCACCCCCTAATTGACAAACAAACTCTCATGCTTTGTTGTATCAAAAAAGATTCTGACTCAATTTGGCATGAGGGTCTGCTATATAAATTGATGGAAAGCAGTGTTCGGGGAAAAACATACGACATTATAAAATCCATGTACACAAACAACAAGTGTGCTGTTAAAATTGGCAAAAAGACAAACAGATGTCTTTCCTCGGGGTCATGGGGTAAAAAAGGGATGCAGCTTGAGTCCCACCCTCTTCAACACACACTATACATTGCATTTGGAAAGTATTCAGACCCCTTGACTTTTTCCACATTGTTACAATACAGCCTTATTCTAAAATTGATTAAATTGTTTTTTGTTTTTTTTTCATCAATCTACACACAATACCCCATAATGACAAAGCAAAATCAGGTTTTTAGAAATTTTTGCTAAACAAAAGCTTGGCACACCTGTATTTGGGGAGTTTCTCCCATTCTTCTCTGCAGATCCTCTCAAGCTCTGTCAGGTTGGATGGGTAGCCTCGCTGCACTGCTATTTTCAGGTCTCTCCAGAGATGCTCGATCAGGTTCAAGTCCGGGCTCTGGCTGTGCCAATCAAGAACATTCAGAGACTTGTCAAGAAGCACTCCTGCGTTGCCCCAGTCTGAGGTCTTGAGCACTCTGAAGCAGGTTTTCATCAAGGATCTCTCTGTACTTTGCTCCGTTCATCTTTCCCTCGATCCTGACGAGTCTCCCAGTCCCTGCCGCTGAAAAACATCCCCACAGCATGATGCTGCCACCACCATGCTTCACCGTAAGGATGGTGCCAAGTTTCCTCCAGACGTGACGCTTGGCATTCAGGCCAAAGAGTTCAATCTTGGTTTCATCAGATTAGAGAATCTTGTTTCTCATGACCTGAGAGTCCTTTAGGTGCCTTTTGGCAAACTCCAAGCGGACTGTCATGTGCCTTTTACTGAGGAGTGGCTTCTGTCTGGCCACTCTACCATAAAGGCCTGACTGGTGGAGTGCTGCAGAGATAGTTGTCCTTCTGGAAGGTTCTCCCATCTCCACAGAGGAACTATGGAGCTCTGTCACAGTGACCATCGGGTTCTTGGTCACCTCCCTGACCAAGGCTCTTCTCCCCTGATTGCTCAGTTTGGCCGGGCGGCCAGCTCTAAGAAGAGTCTAGGTGGTTCCAAACTTCTTCCATTTAAGAATGATGGAGGCCACTGTGTTCTTGGGGACCTTCAATGCTGCATAAATTTGTTTGTACCCTTCCCAAGATATGTGCCTCGACACAATCCTGTCTCGGAGCTCTACGGACAATTCCTTCGACCTCATGGCTTTGTTTTTGCTCTGACATGCACTGTTAACTGTGGGACCTTATATAGACAGGTGTGTACCTTTCCAAATCATGTCCAATCAATTGAATTTACCACAGGTGGACTCCAATCAAGTTGTAGAAACATCTCAAGGATGATCAATGGAAACTGGATGCACCTGAGCTCAATTTCGAGTCTCATAGCAAAGGGTCTGAATACTTATGTAAATAAGGTATTTCTGTTTTTTATTTTCAAAACTTTCTAAAAACCTGTTTTTGCTTTGTCATTATAGGGTATTGTCTGTAGCTTGACGAGGGGAAAATGTCAGTTAATCCATTTTAGAATAAGGCTGTAACGTAAAACAAAATACCTAAGACTCTTCCTAGCTGATAGCTCATTGTCTAGTCCTCAGCTATTTTAATGAGGACACGTTCATAAAGTGGCTGCTAACTCCCTTGCTGTCGTCGCCGGCAAGTGTGTGTGTGTCATAACCCCTAGCCCCAGACAGGCTATAGCCAGAGGGAGAGAAAGACGAGAGAGAGAAACAGAGAGAGAGAGAACGAGAGACAGAAAGAGAGAGATGGAGAGAGAGAGAGAGAGAGAGAGAGAGAGAGAACGTTTGTGTGATATCCATATCCCCTGGCCCCAGATGAGCTATTGTAAGAGAGGGTGACATCGGTGGCGACACGAGGCAGCTGACAGGGAACATGACACAGGAGTCCACTTACGGACACGACAGCAATGTGTGTGTGTTTGTGTGTGTGTACCGGTAAGTGTGTTTGTGTGATGATTCACTGTTGAGGCATCAGAGGGTGTGTGTCTGTGCAATGGAAAGGCAGGCCATCACCTCTAGATGAGGATCAGTAGTACACAATGAAAATGGTCAGACATGTTATGTAGCATGGTGTTCTTCTGACAGACAAACACACGGAAGGGATGGAGCCCTGAGTCATTAGTACTTAACAACATCACTCATTAGGGCTATGATACTGTATGTTTGTGTCACTGCTGTTAGCCTACTGAGCGCTCAGGGAGCTAACACAAGTCTTCATGTCTCAGGCTAGGTTACTCATGTGATTTACGTGTGTGTGGTGTGTGTGTGTGTGTGTGTGTGTGTGTGTGTGTGTTTGTGTGCGTGCATGCGCGTGTGTGTGACTAACCCTGAGCTTTCAGTGCTAACAGTGTGAGTGACCAGCCTGACTCCTATCACTGCAGGTGCAAGGCCACAGACAGGGAGTTAGACTTCAGGCTTTAGATTACAGTAGAATACAAAGCCTGACTGTGAACTACAGTATATAGACATCAGCTCCTTGAACAGGAAAACATAACTTTATTGTTTTCTGAACTCCCTTTACGTGGCCTCCCGAGTGGTGCAGTGGTCTGTGCCACTAGAGATCCTGGTTCGAATCCAGGCTCTGTCGTAGCCGGCCGCGACCAGGAGACCCATGGGGCGGCGCACAATTGGCCCAGCGTTGTCTAGGGAATGGCCGGCAGGGGATGTAGCTCAGTTGGTAGAGCATGGTGTTTGCAACACCAGGGTTGTGGGTTTGATTCCCACAGGGGGTATAAAAAATTAATAATAATGTATGCACTCACTAACTGTAAGTCGCTCTGGATAAGAGCGTCTGCTAAATGACTAAAATGTAAGTGGTCATGTATGTTTTCGCCCCTCCTCTCTTGCCCTCTCCTCTCCTCCTATCCAGATGGTGTTGCTGGCTCGGTGCGAGGGCCACTGCAGCCACACGTCCCGCTCCGACCCTCTCATCTCCTTCAGTTCGGTGTTGAAGCAGCCCTTTAAGAGCACCTGTTTCTGCTGCAGGCCCCACACCTCCAAGCTGAAGGCTGTGAGGCTCCGCTGCGCCGGAGGAACGCGCATCACCGCCACCTACCGCTACATACTTGCCTGCAACTGTGAGGAGTGCAGCTGAGCAGAGAAAATAACCTTTTAGAACCTTTGAGAGTTTCTACCCCTGTGAGTCTGCAGCTGTGAGGAGTGGAATCCTAGAACTCGAGAATTTGAAGAACCCGCACCTTTGTAGAACCTGTATGATGATTCAAGTGCCCTAACTTCTCCGCTGGCCTTCATCTGCAAGTAGTGGAACCCTTGGTACCCTATAGAACTCTAAAACCAAAGAGTCTAGGCCCAACCCATGGACACATCTAGAACCATCATGCCTGTTGGCGATAATGACTCCAGCGCCCTGGGCTTTTAGAACCGGCATATTGGGGAGGGGAGGGGAGGGGAGGGGAGGGGAGGGGGAGTTAAGAACCATCGAGGAACCCCATGTACTAACCCATGGTTCTACTTGTTTTACTAGACCTGACCGAGAAGTCTGTCATGAGAACCTTAATTCTCGTGACTCTTTGTCAAACTGTTTTTTAAATCCTAAATTCACTACCTATCAGTCTGGACCCAACTGCAAGACTCTGAGACCTGAGCTCCTATTCCTCTTCCAGTGGCTCAGTCCCCATCCTGAGACCCATTAGGAACCCTGATCCCCAATTATGTGTGTCTAGAATGAGCAGAACATTCGGTTCCTCAAGGTTCCCTAAAGGAGTAATTTCTGATAATCCATCCAGGGTAGATGTGATTCCCCCGGATCCCATACAACCCTCCATTCCCTCCCATTTGTTTAGACCCCAAACAACTAACTGCTTTTTGGGTTTCAGCCAACCTCTCACCACTCATTACAGGCAATAACAACACATATGCACACACACACATTCACGCACACATCCCTTATCTTACAACACACACTCTCTCACCAGTCACCACTCATTACAGGCATCAATAACGATATGGTGCCAACATCATAAAAGCCCACCAGTGCCCAAAAACACAACAACAAACATCATTAAAGGCCCAATGCAGCCATTTTTATATCAATATCAAATAATTTCTGGGTAAAAAGATTTACATTAAAATGGGCAAAAATTGCTTTTTAACAAAAAACTATTTCTCAAGCAATAATTTTGCTAGGATTGTCTGAGAGTGGTCTGAGTGTGGAGGGGGAAACTGAAAACGAGCTGTTATTGGCAGAGAGGTTTGGAACTCTCTTTGTTATTGGTCTATTAACCAATTTACCGCATGGTGATGTCACCATGGAAAGCCCAAACTCCTACCCATGCAAACCTTCTGATAAGAAAGTTCCGTGTAGCATCCCGAGTGGCGCAGCGGTCTAAGGCACTGCAGTGCTTGAGGCGTCACTACAGATCCGGGTTCGATCTCGGACTGTGTCGCAGCCGGCCATGACCGGGAGACCCATGAGGCGACGCACAATTGGCCCAGTCTCGGTTAGGTGAGGGTTTGGCTGACAGGGATGTCCTTGTCCCATCGTGCTCTAGCGACTCCTGTGGCAGGCCGGGCGCATGCACGCTGACACGGTCACCAGTTGTACGGTGTTTCGTCCGACACATTGGTGCGGCTGGCTTCTGGGTTAAGCGAGCAGTACGGCTTGGCAGGGTCATGTTTCGGAGGACGCATGGCTCTCGACCTTCGCCTCTCCCAAGTCTGTACGGGAGTTGTAGCGATGGGACAAGACTGTAACTACCAATTGGGGAGAAAAAGGTGTACAATATTTTTTTACCCAAAAATATTTTTTCAACCAGCAACTATCAGGAAAAGAAAATCACACTTCTACAGTGTTAGCTTCATCAGCTGTTGTACAATATGATATGAAACACAGGAAAAACAGAATTTTGACTGCACTGGGCCTTTAAAAGCAGCATGGGACAGAATAGATACAGTGAGGGAAAAAAGTATTTGATCCCCTGCTGATTTTGTACATTTGCCCACTGACAAAGTCATGATGATGTCAAAAATGTTATAAATTGATTTGCATTTTAATGAGGGAAATAAGTATTTGACCCCTCTGCAAAACATTACTTAGTATTTGGTGGCAAAACCCTTGTTGGCAATAATAATAATAATAATAATATGCCATTTAGCAGACGCTTTTATCCAAAGCGACTTACAGACATGCGTGCATACATTTATTTTTATTTTTTTTGTGTATGGGTGGTCCCGGGGATCGAACCCACTACCTTGGCGTTACAAGCGCCGTGCTCTACCAGCTGAGCTACAGAGGACCACAATCACAGAGGTCAGACGTTTCTTGTAGTTGGCCACCAGGTTTGCACACATCTCAGGAGGGATTTTGTCCCACTCCTCTTTGCAGATCTTCTCCAAGTCATTAAGGTTTCAAGCCTGACGTTTGGCAACTCAAACCTTCAGCTCCCTCCACAGATTTTCTATGGGATTAAGGTCTGGAGACTGGCTAGGCCACTCCAGGACCTTAATGTGCTTCTTCTTGAGCCACTCATTTGTTGCCTTGGCCGTGTGTTTTGTCATGCTGGAATACCGATCTATTTTCAATGCCCTGGCTGAGGGAAGGAGGTTCTCACCCAAGATTTGACGGTACATGGCCCCGTCCATCGTCCCTTTGATGCGGTGAAGTTGTCCTGTCCCCTTAGCAGAAAAACACAGCCAAAGCATAATGTTTCCACCTCCATGTTTGACAGTGGGGATGGTGTTCTTGGGGTCATAGGCAGCATTCCTCCTCCTCCAAACACGGCGAGTTGAGTTGATGCCATAGAGCTTGATTTTGGTCTCATTTGACCACAACACTTTCACCCAGTTCTCCTCTGAATCATTCAGATGTTCATTGGCAAACTTCAGACAGCCCTGTATATGTGCTTTCTTGAGCAGGGGGACCTTGCGGGCGCTGCAGGATTTCAGTCCTTCACGGCGTAGTGTGTTACCAATTGTTTTCTTGGTGACTATGGTCCCAGCTGCTTTGAGATCATTGACAAGATCCTCCTGTGTAGTTCTGGGCTGATTCCTCACCGTTCTCATGATCATTGCAACTCCACGAGGTGAGATCTTGCATGGAGCCCCAGGCCGAGGGAGATTGACAGTTATTTTGTGTTTCTTCCATTTTGCGAATAATCGCACCAACTGTTGTCACCTTCTCACCAAGCTGCTTGGCGATGGTCTTGTAGCCCATTCCAGCCTTGTGTAGGTCTACAATCTTGTCCCTGACATCCTTGGAGAGCACTTTGGTCTTGGCCATGGTGGAGAGTTTGGAATCTGATTGATTGATTGCTTCTGTGGACAGGTGTCTTTTATACAGGTAACAAGCTGAGATTAGGAGCACTCCCTTTAAGAGTGTGCTCCTAATATCAGCTCGTTACCTGTAAAAAAGACACCTGGGAGCCAGAAATCTTTCTGATTGAGAGGGGGTCAAATACTTATTTCCCTCATTAAAATGCAAATAAATTTATAACATTTTTGACATGCGTTTTTCTGGATTGTTTTGTTGTTATTCTGTCTCTCACTGTTGAAATAAACCTACCATTAAAATTATAGACTGATCATTTCTTTGTCAGTGGGCAAACTTACAAAATCAGCAGGGGATCAAATACTTTTTTCCCTCACTGTATGCTGTATGTGTATTAACTGTTTTTAACTGCACCGGAGCCCTGTCTCCTAGCCAGATCATAAACATTTACCACACTCAGCCCCAGCCTTTCATCTATCTGTTTTAAGCATGACAAACCATACAACCAGCTGATGTACTCTCAGAGGACAGACTCTTACAAAATGACTGCTTTGTCCCCAGCCGGAGGACTATAACGCAAAGGGCAGCAGAGAGCAAAAGAGGGGTATCCGGAGAAACATTCTGTTGATGGGAAGCCATTTTGTGGAGTTGTATATGCACTCTAAAGGGAAATGGTCTGTTAATGCTTATGTTAAATACTCTGTGCAACTGACAATATGGTTGTTGTTGATGTTGAAACTATTAATATTATTATCATGCTAGAGTTTATGATTACTGACACGTTTTGTTATCATTAAGTATTACTACTTTACTAATGATGTAATTTCAATACTATGGGTTAGATACTTTGAGAAAAGAAATTGGTACGGTCACAATTCAAAAACCCTATTTTTATTTACTCTTGAGTGCATTTAAGACAGTCCCAAACCATTGAATTTATCAGGAGTCAACTACTGTATCTTCCAGGTTAAGGTATGGGGGGAGGGTTCCATTTTGGAATAGAATGGAATGGACACAAACACACAGGCACACACACACACACTCACTCACTCCTCTGAAATGCCTTTGTTCTTTGCTATGGCCTCAAACTGTACCCTCCCATGTGAAATCATACAATTTGCTGGTCTGAGGACTTTTTAATGCAGCTCACCACTGACAGCGCGACTGGCTGCTTCACACGTGAACATAATAAACACTCTTCCTTTGTTTCTGGAGATTGATCTGTCCCTCACTGGCTGTCTCCTCTCTGTGTGTCTCCTTCATCAGCACACACATACACAGTTCCATGCCCTGAACCTGGGGGTATAATTATGTGGGGACTGATTTGACAGCAAGACAGAGGAGCAACATAATGCTTGTCACACTGACGCTAACAATGTTCTTATGGCTGCCCTAAACGTGGCATATGAATAAGCTATTTGGCAATGCAAGCAGCCATGATCACACACACATACACACACATGCTCGCATACACACACATACACACACACATTCACACACAGTACTGCAGTTCTAATAACAGAAACAACACGCTCAAATGTCATCATCAAATATAGAATTCATTTTAGTCACTCCAGGAATTCCTGTGTTGGAATGTTTCCAGGTGCGAGACAATAAGGCACATGTGGTATTTTCAGAACCACTCAAATCATCTATTTATATTACAGTCTGTCATTTTTTCTCACAACGGTGATAATCATAACCATTCAACGTTCAATAAAAATCATACAAAGGAAATTATCATGCATTGCCATATGTTTCTAACAGGATGATGACTTCACATCATTCTGTTCACTGTGATGCTTTTTAGATGGTCCAAGACACAACAGGATCCGTTTGGCCTGTCGCTGCAGGGTCAGGTAGGGTTG